AACCACTGTTTTGCTCTGTCTATGAACTCATCTCCTTTTATGTAACAACTGCTATACATTTACTCAAAACTCTGCAGTGACTTTTAATCCCTGTGCAATGGCCTATAGGCCGCCTTTATGGTCTCACTTCAACTACTGGCCTCATCTCCTATGATGGCCCCATCACTTACTCTCATCCTGAGGCATTGGAATTCTCACAGTTTTTTAAATAACAGCCAATATAACGCTGCTTCTATTTGTAGCTCCTTTGCCTGTAATGCTCTTCCTCCAGATGTCACATGGCTTATTCCTTGCTTTAGTTTCTTCTCAAAAGACATCTTCTCAGAGCAGCCAATTCTGTTCACAATCTGAAATAATACCCCCGGGTTCTTTCTGATCCCTTTCCCCGATTCAGCTTTTAATTATAAACAACATTTGTCGTTATCTCATATATTATATTTTTATTTTCTTTTTGTCTGTCTTTCCACCCCCTCCACTACCAATGTAAACCGTGAAGACAGGTTTGTTTACTCTCGTGTCTCTGCTGCATTTCATTACCTCTGTCATGGCATCTATCATTACATCTATTTACATCATTCACAAGGTAGACTGCATTAATTATTGATGGAATGTGTAGTGTAGTGGTTAAAGCATGGATTTTGGAGCTAAAATGCCAACAATACTTGTTAGTTGTATGACAATTGTCTTCTCATCTATGAAAGGAAAATAATGGTATATCTGCTAAGGATTTTTGTAAGAATTAACTGAGTTAATATGTATGAAGTGTTGGGAAGAGTGTCTGGCCTATACAGAAGGATCCAGTCAAATAATTTTTATTACTCAATCAGCTTTAATCATTAAATAGATACTATTTGCTGTAATAACTGAGCACATGCTCAATATATTATCATATCACATTAATGATAATGGGATCATTAATTTGCATTGAGTTTTTGGCAGTAGAAGTCACACTTGAGCCAGGATCACAGAAAAGGGAATGAAATGTAAGAGAACTTCCAAAGGTGACTTTGGTGGCTTGTTATTCAGGAAGAATGAGGAAGAAAACAGAAGAAACTTTTGATCTTAGAACCAGTAAAATCATGGGACCATTTACAGACAAAAGTGAGAATGAAAACATCATCAATGAGGAGAGGTTATGAACTAGTTTTAATTCGTTAAGGATAAAGTCTACAGATTCCAAAAATCTACAGGTATCGTCTGTGGGTAACCTGAAGAAGTAACCACGTGGCTTTGACTATACTTCCTCCCTGACCACAGGCTCCAGATCAGCTGCAGGAGATATATTTGGATACCTGGACTCCCGGCTTCAGATTGTGTCACTTCACTTAATCAAGTCTTTCATATCGTCAACTTACCTGCTTCATTAGAGAGAAAATGACAAGCAGGCATTGTCCAAGGTTATGATTTATTGAGGGCATGTGACTACCGTGCTCCTCTGAGCTTTGGCCCCAGCATATTCTGATTCTACCAGGCTTACTGCATCCTCTTCAAACAACAAATGTCATTTCTAGAGAAATTTACCAACCACCAAGAATACTCCCTCTATCTCTTTCCAAAACAACCTTCTATCCTTTCCTACTACATTTGTGTTTACAAAAGAACACAGTAAACATCAGGTTTGTACCGTCAACAAAGCAGATTACCTTCTTGGATTTATACCTGGTGGTAATGAAAAGTGTTATCCCTAACTATTGAAAAAAACCACTCTGGTCCTCTAGAACAGTAAGAACCATGTTCCAGAGTTCCAGAAAGAATGATATGCTTAATATTACTAGATGATACCTCTGTCTTGAGGCAACTTAGTGACATATTTTGCTTTAAGTAGCACATCCTTACCCAGGAGTTTTGATTAAATTGCCCAGCCAAGAGGTCTATTCTACAAGAATGACCAAGAACTTTTCTCACACAATTGTGGACCAAAATTTTAAGATGTCCCCAAATCCTCCTGAGCTGGTATCTCTTGCAACATGGTTATCTGTCCTCAGGCTCTTTTGAACCCCGCTACGACCATTTATGGGAAGGGGGTGCATATATTCAAGCAACCTAGGTCTATCTCCTCCAGGAGGAATTTCTTGTCCCTCACCCAAATATATGCCTACATCTCAGCTACAGTACCTTGGGAGGGAACTCAAATTAGAATGCATTAAAGTATTTTATTCAGAATCCCAAAGTTCCACTGTAAACAAGTTTTCACAGTAGATACCGTCATCTTTCCCTAAGAGATTCCATGGGAATCACCAAAGTAGAACAGAAGAGAAACCCAAAGTAGCACTTGTGGTAAACTGGAATTGCCAACCATAGTGCAGAGAATATAGATAAAATTCTCTGGGATCACCTCCCTTCTTCCTAAGCTCATAGCTATAACTTATGATTTTGTCACACTTGTAAAGGTAATGACTTGAAGAAAAGAGAACTGAGAGGGAACATTTTGCCATAGTTGAGCAAGACCAACAATCCTCCTACAGTTTTTAAGTAATTCCAGCACTGTCGAATACCAGCACTTTCAGTACCTGAAACTCTACGGTCTATCACAATAAGACTGGTTTCACTAAACTCTCTTCTGGACAGTCAAAGTTTCCTGCCATTTGTTCACTCAACAAAAACATTTTAGCCACACACTAAATGTCAGACTATAAGCACTGGGATACAAATGTGATCATAACTGATTAAATCTTTGATGTTATAGTGCTTGTATCTTAGACGAAAAAGGTAATCAATGTTTAAAAATAAATAAGGTAATTTCAACTAAATTGATTATTCAAAATAAGCCATTAAAGAATACTGGCAGCTGGGCTTGGTGGCTCAGCCTGTAATCCCAGTACTTTGGGAGGCCAAGGTGAGTGGATTGCCTGAACCTGCAGGTTCAAGACCCACCCGGGCAACTTGGTGAGACCTCATGTCTATAATAAATCAAAAATTAGCCGGGCGTGGTAGCGTGCACCTGTAGTTCCAGCTACTTGGAAGGCTGAGGTGGTAGGATCACCAGAGCCCAGGAGGTCAAGGCTGCGGTGACCAGGAGCATGCCACTGCACTCCGGTCTGGTCGAAAGAGTGAGACTCCAACTCAAAAAAAAAAAAAAATACTGGAATTGAATATGACTGAGATGGAATGTGTTAGTTTGGCTAGTCAGCAAACTCTGCCTTTGGAGGTGACATTGAGTTGAGAAGAAGCTTGACACAATCAAGAGACAGAATGAAATTGAGGATCACAGAAACATAATATTTAGTAGGGGAATTACGGACATGGAGCCAGAGAAGTTAGTTTGGTCCAGATTGGGGAATCCCGAAGTATTGTGACCCAAAATCTAAAGCCATAAGATTCATCTAAATAGGTCATATTGGAAACATATATTTATTACACACTATGTGCCAGAAACTGGAAGGTCCCTCCCTACTTGAGCCTCTTCATTTTCGCAGAAGTCATCTCTTGTGAACTTATGCCAGGTGATGGAAGCCTGACTTTAATCATTTTTTACTCCAAACAATCCTTAAAATTCCAGCTTCTTCTCTTAACTCCTGTAGCCTCCCTCTAAACTGGTTATCTGAAAAGATCACACAGAAGGTGATGAACCCTCGACTGTGAAAGGACTGGCCTCAATGCCTTGTTCATGGGTAAGAATGAAGCCTACATAAGTGATCATAGAACCTTGCCTGATTACTTGAAAATACCCAGCATGAAGTTGTAAACTTTCACTAAGTAATTCACAAAATCTGCTCAATTATCCCATCCAAGGAAAGGAATTGACTGGCCATCCATATGAACTCTGCACCCTAAGAATCTCCTGCTCTTAAAAGGGATCAATCAAATATATCTCAACTAAAGTAAGTAAACAATCAAAGAATCAATATTAAAAACCTGAAAAAAGCAAACAATAAATAATGATTACGATAATAATAATAAACCAAAATAATAAAGAAAAGTAAACACATAGCTTACCTGACATCAATTTACTCTTGACTTCATTGCCTTAGCTTAGGTCTGCCCATTGAAATTTCCCTCAAGCCCATATCCTCTTTCAAATTGCTCAAAATATGAATTTCTCCTCATGGATGAAATACGCAACTTCAAAGCACACATTCACACACACACACACACACACACACACACACACACACACACACAAGTTATGGAAGAAATGACAGTTCAACCCTGTCCTCACTTTGACACAGACACTTCACATGTTAATATATTCGTTAAATATCCCTGAAGATGCCCGGTCACTGTGGAGTCTGAGGCACTCATCTACCTGCTTTATCTCTGGTAAAACACACAAGAAGAGAAGTAGTGTTTTAATAAGAGTACAGTACAAGGATGCAGAGATGTCAGAGAACGAATAGAGTAAGACATCACGTAATTTGAAAACAAATTTATTTCAGTCAACATTTATTAAGAAATATTACACTCAGGCAGAAGCAACTGCATAATTTGTGGAATCAGTGAAAAATAAAAATGCAGTATCTCTTGTTTGACATTTATTAAGAATATCAAGATAAAAACAGTGGTGCATTAAACCTAGCATGGGTCCCCACAGAGCATGAACTCCTGTGCTTCTACACAGGTCACATGCTAATGAAGCTGACCTGAATTCAGGTAAGATTTTTGGTCATGAACAGAGACACAAAAATCTAAATCATACATTCAAACAACTGAGAGAAAACAAAAAAAGGCAAAATCTAAACAGTTACTGTCCTGAATAACAAGCGATTGTGTGTTTATGAAGAACATTTCAATTTTAGGTATACAGAAGAGCTTTCAGTTTGATGACCATGATAAGCTTCTATAAAAAATAACCATTTGAATCGCAGTCTGAAGAATCAATAATGATGAATATGTGGCCAAACCAGAACAAATATTACTGTAAGATGAAAAATATTTCTAAAGGAATGAATATCCTTGCTAGAACAAGCCGTGCTTAAAAAAAAAAAAAAAAAAAGCATATTTTCTTTATTGGACATGAGCTAGGTTTGAGACCCAGACAGGATTTTATGTATTAAGTAAAACTAATGACACCAAAGTTGCTTTAGGCCTATCTTACACTTCTTCAAAAATCTCTTTTTGAGCCATGATTCTTCTGCCAGGCAGAGCTCGTGTCCTGAACTCCTAGTATCCTGGGTCTTGGCTTCCATGGAAACGGCAGGGCTGGGTTCATAGGGGGAGGGAATGTTCTGAGTTGAGCTGTGGGGAAAAAATTAAATTTTAATCTCAAAAAGGGAAATCAGGAACAAAGAAGGAAAGATGAAATGAGGAAAAGGGGGGGAAATGTTGATTAGAGGTTGAAGAAGTAAAAAGCAAGAGACTCACCTCGGTATTTTAAACCATGTGCCAATTATAACCAACATGACCAGGGTAATAGCAACAGTCAAATAGATCAAGATCAGAAGGATGGAGTATCCACCTGGTTGAAGATAAAATAAGGATATCAACTCACAGAATACTCTCTATTAAAGCCATAAAAGACTCTCTAATCCACCACAGATGAGATTTTTCATTCCAAAAGGAGGTTGCATGTGTGTTTTCTAGAGTCCTAACTTCAGTTCACCCCTGAGTCTATGTCTGTGATTTCCCCACTACTTCCTCCACTAAATCATTTTCCTCTCTTAATTTCTCTTTAATATCTCTAATCCTTTATTTCCATTTGCTTAAAATTTAACTGCGGTCATTCTTTACCATTGGTGCTTGGATTCTCCCACTTTTATCCTTCTGGTGACTGACATTTCTACTCAGCTGCTCATCCAAAAGCCCCAGGACAGTCTTCCATAATTTCCCAGCTGTGCCCAGCTCTTTCTCACCCCAGGGGATGATTATATCGTGACCTCTGAGACTGCTGTGCTTCACCCGACAGGACAAGCCAGCCGCCTCTCCAACCGCCACATTCAGGGTTGCTTGGAGATACCATGTCCCATCAGCGTTGGGCAGGACATCCCCTCGCTGAGTGCCTCGTTGCTCCTGCTCACCCCGCATCCACATCACCCACACGGACTTTGGGTAGAATCCTGAGACGTGGCACACCAGCAGCAGACGCCCAGGCCCGCGACTGGAGCCACTGGACAGCCAGGCCTCGGGCTTCACTAGGCAGAAAAGGATGGAGAGAAATGAACTTCCCAGAGCTCTGGGATGCAGGTCCCTTAGTAGTTGGAGTAATCACTTCTTCCTCTTGTTAAGAAACGATGCTAAACCCACATATCTCACCCTCTAGCTTCTCATTATATGTTTCAAAATGAAAACGATTATTGGCAAATTCAAACACAGATATTAAAGCCCTAAGAACAAGAGGGAAGAGAGGATTGGGCTCACCTTGTCGTTCCAGGTCTGACTTCCCTGCTTCAAGGAGGCCTGCCAGAAATCGAGGGCAGGTGTGACCAAGGAGGACCCACACTATTTCTTTAACATCTCGGTATTGATTGAGCACCTTACAGACGTTCTGGGCCCAGCTCCCTGCTCCTGGAGCTGGCTCCCAGGAACTTCCTTGGAAACTCAGGAAATCCAATCCTTGATATGCCCCATTTATGAACATATTTGAGGCCTCCCCAGCATGCATTCTACAGCCAGCCGATATCTGGAGCTCAAAGGGGTCTGAGGGTGAACAAGGAGAGAGAATCAAAATGAAAGGGATGAAAAATAAGTAATTATAGAGAGACAAGAGATTCGAGGGAAGAAAAATTTTCTGGGAAATCATATGGGAGACTAGAGCTTGGATGGGAAAGGAGAAAGAAAATATGGAGATAATAAGCGTACTTTGAAATAATTAATAGAAAGGGGGCAAATGGGAAGGCTGTCAGGACAATGAAAGAGTAGCCTAAAGGAATTAACATAAAAGGATTAAGGTACAGGCCAAGCCAGGTGAATATTCAAGCCAATGAGAAAAGAAGACAAAAACTGGGTGAGAATGGTTGTTTCTGAGCCCAGAATCAATAGACAGAAGATCAAGAGGAAAAAGGCATTCCAACAAGGAAGAACACAATGGTATAGTCGGGGTATGAAGAGGGGTGAGGGTGGTGTGGAAGGGTGAAACATAGGAGGGAGTGGGAGCCAGAGGACAGGGAACAAGGCCCAAAAGGTTGCATGCTGGTCAGAGCCTATGTACTATTTTCCCCATTAGAATATGGTTGGAGCACTCAAGCAAGTTATCAACTTGGAGAAATGAACTTACATTCAAACTGAAATTGACTGGCAAAGGCCTGCACTACACTAGTAAAGCCATAGAAATAGAACTGGAACAATCTCTGGAAGCGCTTTAGCTCCTCCTTGCTGAAGTCTCCCTGGGACCAGGACCTCAGAAAGCGGATGGTGCCCAAGACACTGTCCCAGCCATGAGTCTGCAGCTCGCCCAGCCAGCCTGAGCCCCGGTTCTTCACCCAGCTGTGGTTGGCAAAGGAGGAGATCTGGAGCATGCGGAAGGAAAGAGGTTCTTCTGCTGGGTGGTGGGATCCCAGAGCCTGAGGGGCTGAAAGAGTGAGGATGACAAGTAGTTAGTGTGTAAAGGGATGGAAGAAGAGATGCCACAGGAAGATGAGGAGCCCAGAAAGGAGAAGAAGTGTGGAGACAATTACACAGGTTGCACAATTTCCAATACCCTCTTCCCCAATCCCCTACCTCAAAATCAGAGACAGAAGCAAAGACTGTGGGCAAGAATTCCCTATTTGAAACTAGTTTTCAAGGCAGACTGCTAGAGCATCCCAGAGGAGCAATGCTTCTTTCCCCTAGGTCCTGTCCAGAGCTTTCTCACTGTCCTCCTGTACCCTACCACAAATCTTTTCACCTGAGCTCTTCTTACCTGCCGTGCTTTCCTCAGGGCCACAAACGCCCTGGAAGAGGAGGAGGAACAGGAGCAGCATTGGAAGTCTGTTGGGGGAAGGATGCTTCTACAAGACACCTCTTCTTAGAACTCAGATATCAGCACCCCACCCCTTGTACTCTCATCTGACTTCCCTTCTGCACAGACATTAAAAACCCTCCTGTAAACTTCCCTATCAAAGAAACCACTCTGCCTCACTTCCTCACAACCTCCCACAGGGTCTCTCGTTTCCCTTCTGTCTCTCTCATTCACTGGCTTCAAGATTTTCTCCCTGCTCTTTTGCGCATCCTCCCAGTCTCTCCTATTGCACCAACTCCTGCAAAAGGAGTCCTGGCCTAGGATAAAGTTTGTGATCTGGTTAGAAAATGTAGTAGTTTTTTTTGACATTGGACAAATCAAATCCACACTTAGGCTGTCAACATTCTCTGTGTAAAGTGATGGCGGTCACTCGGTGATGCCTAGTGATCCATCTAATAATCTCTCCACTC